GTATTCAGCATTCTCTTCATAAGGACATCAAACTCAACACCATTTCTGACATGAAATATTTTATTTCAGCCTATTACTCTTTTAGTATCAAATGTATTCTGTTTTTATAAGTCACAGAAAAACAGTATTCTTTCAAATGAGAAGTACACTAAGTTTTACACTGAATACTATTGCCTATCCTTATTTTCTGTGAAGACTAGTGTTTTGCCTTTACTTTTTAAAGCCAGCAGGTAGAAAACAAGACAGCAAAAAGTCTGATTTTATGAAGTGTGCTTTATATGTTTTTTATAAATGCAGTGTTTACTTATGACATCAGAAATGTTCAGGTCAATTAGGACTTGTAGACAGCACACTACAATTCACTATTTCTCAACAGACTTCACATTTAATATTACTTTTATAGGGCATGATGACATCAGGGAGCACAAGCATTCACTTTCCAAGGTTATTTAGGCTGGATGACACAAGGACTTGCTGGTACCACAAACATTCCCCACCCCTCCTACATGGATTGCATGTAAGCCTGCAAAACAAGCTTGCAAGTGCTGCAGGGCCCTGGATGAGTGATTTGGCAGATGCTTAGAAAAGATTTTTACTCAATGAAGTAGCAGAGAAGAGTAAGCCTTTAGTGGTGATATAAACAAGGATTCAGGAGCAATGTAATGGTCTGTGGTCACCGCAACTAAGTGCTGCCCATGACACACTATGACCAAATGGCCTGGATGTGGAAGCTGTCTTTCCATTTTGCAAACTGGTTGTCTTGACTCAGGACAATGGTGTCTCAGTCAACGAACCAGCATCACAGAATGACTAGACCAGACAACATGTGCTGGGAAACACAATATATTATACATACTTGATATCCACTGCGGTGTTTTGACTGTTTAAATGCTTTTCCATTAATTTGAATAGCAAGATATTTCTTCAAGTATCAGCATTATTACCCTAAAGAAAAAGAATTAGGAACAGAAATTGTGTGCAGCTTGCACAATCACACAAGTCTTAGAGGGCAGACTGCCATGGCATGTTGCAGATAAGGAAATCTTGCTCAATTTTGTGGTCTGCCATGCCTCTTGCATTTCAAAAAGACATTTTGCATCATTTGAGGGTAAAAATTCTTATAAATACTAAAAAGCAGAGCAGCTGTGGTTTGGTTTATTGCAAAGCAATATTGTCCTTTCCTCCCCTCAAATAAATTCTCCCCTTAACAAAAACATTCATGTAAGCAGGTATTAGTACCACTACATTCTCTGCCACTCCCCTTTAAATTAACAGACTTTCTAACATTTTTTTAGACTTAGTGTCAAACACTTCAGCTCATCTTGTTCCAACCCCCCTGACATGGGCTGGGCAGGGGCATCTTGCACTAAAACATGTCACCAAAAATTTTGCATATGTTCTGAGGCAATGGAAGGGTAACCATGCTGGCCAGTCAGCCCTGCTGTGAGTCAAAAGGCACTCCATAGAAAAGATATGTTATTGCCATCTACATGTATAATACAGAGAGTTGGATTTCTTTAATGTAAGGATCTTCGGACTGATCTCCAGTGTTTGAAAGTACTTTGTTTGTATGGTCTTTGCCTTTTGTTTTCCAGAACTACTTCAACTAGAAAATCCAAATATTAGTCTAAAGCTATCTGCAAGTAGATCCATAGGGACGATCTTCAAATTGTTTTCAGATGATGCTCTTCCTCCGTTCTTTCATACACATAGATGCTCAACCACAACCGAATTTACCTGAGACACTGCTTGTTACATTTACTCTCTGTTACTTGTAGTTATACTGTTTTTAGGAGGGGAAGAAAAGAAGTCAATTTCAGTTGAGTGATCCTGTGAGCCACTTTGTTACAGCAAAGTAGCATGCGATTGATTCAGTTGTACTTTAGTAATTTTCATTCCCTTCACAGTTTCACCTATATAAAACATACAAAATATTTAAACTAGCGCCATTGCACTTCTCTAAATTAAGTTTTCAGATGTTCAGTGGGCTTGTTCTGTAATGAAAAGATGGTGCACTCAGTGAAAAGGTGGCACTGCACACGCTCGCATGGTGCTGGGGAGAGAATGGGATTTCACTAGTAACTGATAAAACTATCACAGCAAGGAATCAGCAGCAAACTGTAAGTGACAAAGTGTTTTCATGTACGATAATAAACAAACTGCAGACTTCCTACCTGAAAATCTTACTCTTTACAGAACCACTGAACAATATTAAAAAGTGTACAATCACAAAATAACTAATTTTCTCTTTTAAAATACTGCTTTCAATTACAACAGATTTACTAGGAAACAGTAATAAACTGCCTGACTCAGTTTTCTCAAGCAGAACCTGTACTGAACAAAATACAGATGCTTTTTAAGATTTATAATGCTAAATGCTTAATTTTTCCTGACCCTTATCTTTTATATCCATGTTGATAAGAACAGTCTCTTTTCACACATAACCCCTGTCTGAGCTAATAATAATAGTTTTATACAGCTGACGATAGAGGTACACATAAAGTTCAGCTGCATTGAGGAGACACCAAAATGTGTGTTAGCTTAGGAACAAATAGAATTTTTAAAGGCTGGGTTTCTTAAATACTTGGCCTCACTTGATCCCTTTTAATAGGAAGGACTGTGTAGAGTGGGGATACTGGCAGAGAGAAGAAGCTAAGAACCATTTCATTCACAAGAAATGGGAGTTCTGTGGCTTTTTTCCTTACTGTTAAAAAGATTTGACAGAGTGTAAACATTTAAGGTTGTATCTTCCATTACAACCCGTGGCTATTGTTCTGCAGGACAAGGGAAAGAAGAAGTTACTTACCACATCTGATATAATTTTCCAAAGAAAGGACACACCATGATTCACATACTCTGAATGAATTCCTTATATGTACAGGAACAAATCTTGACCTCTAAGAAGGTACAATCTCTGGTGCTAGCTTTACAAATCATATCCTAGAAACTTCTCCAAAGGGCAGTCTCATGCTAGTACATTCCCCCAGTGCAGAAGTACTTGATGGGAGATGGCACTGGTGTAATGGCTTAACACTATGGCACATGAATCTACTGAATGGGCATGGTCAAAAATTAAAAAGATAGTCTGGGCCAATTTCTTCTGGCTTCTTGGGTCACACTCTTAACTCAGCTTTGTTTTGGGGTCAAGACAGAGGTTGTTTGAAGAGCACAGAATGAGATGTTTGGAAAGCACCGAGTGGGGATGGTCGTGGTTTAAACCAGGAGAGACTTTACAGCAGAACCCCTGCTGTAATGCTGTGATGCTACTGCAAGTCCTGCACTTTGCTTCTCTTACTCCACTACAGAATCTTAATTCCAAATGTTAATGAACTGCCTAGTACCCAGGGCAGAAGAGATAATCAAGAGAAAAGTGAAAGGGGAACATTCTCTTCTTGTTAATTGTTTTCAGAGCAAACCCTGCATGCAGTAGAATTAATGTAAAGTGTTTGACCAAGATTTGTTCATGCCAGACACACCTTTTCTTGCCTCCTGACTGAACACAGGAAAGTGTGTCTCCCTGAGGGCATTCTGCAGTTTTGAGAAGCAATGTTTTGACAGTGGAAAAGTACAAGTCTAAATATAATACATTTTGTCAAATTTTGTTTAAAAGAATGTTTCAATAGATACCTGTTTAAAACTGTGCCTTGCTATTGGTTCCTATGCAAACACTTTTATTAATGGGGTTTCTGCAAGCCTGTAATACCAGTATGCGGCCAAAGAGGGGACTGATTGCTTTGGCAAGTGTTCAGGCCATACAATGGACCTTAGGCTCACATTTATCTTTGTCATAGTCCAAAGTGCAGGAGGTTTTACTTTTTTGTTTCTTACTTTTTGTTTACTCACTGGTTCCTCTTCTCTGGCACATAAGAAACTATGTCCTTGAAAAGCACAAAAAGTACAGTTAGCTACTTTATTTCCAGAGCATTTCTTTCCATGATGGATTCTAACACACAGGGCTCACAGGTTTCTGTTTATACAAAAGGAGGAAAACGTGGTAGTGAGAAGGCAAAAAGGAGACTATACCAAGTCTCTGAGGCATGGAAATTCAGTATCTGAAAATCCACACAGCACTGAAATCACAAATATCAGAGGTGGAGAGTTTTAAGGAGAAAGAGTAGAAATAGTAAAAAGACCACTGTCTCTAGCAGTCTGTGTTCCCTCATTGTACACAGCACTTCATGATACTAGATATTTCATGCATGACCCTGTGAGGGGTAGTGGAGGAATGGGTACAGTTACTGGAAGAGAAGGGAGGAAGCGTTCTTGCAATTTTTATTGGTCTCTTCAAAGGTTTTTCTTAGTGCAAACAAAGAATTCACAGACAGCACTTCATTTTGCCCCCTAAGCAGGAGAAAGTCACCTCTGGGAAACGGCATTCAGAAAATAACAAGCAAGTCAGGTCAGGGTCTCCTCACAAGTAACATCACCTGTTGCGGGAAGCCTATGAAGTGTGGTTCTTCATACTTTACTGAAGCTTGAAGTCCAAACTTTGACTCCTCCTCTGTGACTGCAAGCATGTGTTCTGCCTCATCTGAGTACCTAGAAAATATTTTATTCCTCCCCCCTTCTGTTTTCTGATTTAAAGCTACATATTCTTTGCAGTAAGTTTCTATTCACATTGTATAAACAGCTCTTCAGGCACTGCTGTGATACAGTACATGCCTACTGCAATGAGAATGAGAGAATGATAAGAAAACAAAAATTAGAAAGAGGCAGGGAAAACTAGAGAAGAAAAAATCTCAGCACTGATGAAACATACTATTTTTTTTTCCTTAAAATTGCAGTTAGTTAACTAAGTATTTCATAGCAGTAGACATTAAAGGATATGCAGAACTATGTAAAGAAAGCACATTTAAAAATAGGAGCTGTGGTTCCTGTCAGTTATGATCTTCAATAAAAGCAATAAGCAACCTTTTTGATAACTTTCCAATCCCTGAATTTAAGTCTGCATTTAAGGGGAAGACTGCATTAATTTTAATTAACTTCTAATTTCTATTAAGGATGACTTCAATATAATTGAATCCTTCTCCTGTAATGCATGAAACAGTCCAACAGAGCCTATACTCCAGCAGTAAGAGCAGCATGGCTGTAATGCCAGTGTAACTCTGGTTCTGACAGTCACTTCTGAGTACTCTGGATGAAAGCGGTAAGTTTTCACTGCAATTTTTTTGTGGGCACAATATTGATGCTAGAAGGGAAGTCCATCAGACAAAGTCAGTTTGAACAAAGCATCTTATCTCACAAGGTTGCCAGACCCTGGAACCATATGAAAACACAAGCCAGAAGCTGCAGGCAATGGGAGGAACTCCAGGAGAATCCCCCATCGCTGAGGTGAGTGCCAGTTTGCTATCAACCCTCAGCCCCAGATTTCCCACATCAGACTTTTGCTAATATGCAGATTTTTCACAACCTTGGTCTGTGCATTACAAATCACAGCAAAAGCATTTCAGCTTCACAGATGGTAGGTTTGGTCTTAGGCTGAGAGTACTACAAGTTGTCTTGGAAATTTTAAATCTGGGCTTGCTTTCAAGGGAATCTGAAGTGTTTGTTCCAACAAACACATCAATTTTATTAACTAGCCACACCTCCAATATTAAAACTCAACCCCAGTCTTTATTCTGTGACAGAACGTGCCACTGTTGACATTCTGATTAAATCCAAACATCCTAGAGATGTAAAATGCAAACCATAAGAATACAGAGCTGTAGTAATAAATCTGTAGAGAGGTGAGGAATTCAAAGCCACAAATACAACTTTTCTGATTACATATTGCAATAAAACTATATTTTCTAGAGAGATTATATGCTTGCAGCTATTTGTGACGTTACCAGTAGCACTGTAATCTTTAATTCATATTTACAAACCTGATATCCTCATTCTCGGTGATTCAGTAAATTGCAAAAGTGTTGGTTTTGTTTTTTAAAAAGCTGTCTCAATAAACCCTAAGATATATTTTAATTCTTTGAAGGTAAATTGAATAATTCTCCAGTGAAAATTTACTGCTTTGACATGGAGAGGAATGAGAAACAGAAGCTTCTCGTTGAAACTTTATGTTAGAAAGCTGGACCTGCCTGAACTTAAATAATTACATTACCTTTCTTGCTCTTGCTGTCTTACCAAGGAAAATAGTTTCAAGTTAATACTGGCTGGACTAGGTGACCTTTAAAGGTCCCCTTCAACCAAAACTATCCTATGGTTCTACAGTAATCCATCACAGACTATCCTAGATTAGAAATGTCCAGTAAATATAATGTATACAGACATCACAATCATTTTTAAGGGAAACTTGCACATACTGGAATGGAACAAAATAATGATACATATATGGTACATCAAGGTTGTTTAGGGAACAAAATAAACACTCCCTCCTGGGAAAGGAGGAAAAACATTTAGAAGATGTTTCCAACATTGCTGCTTGTTATTAAAAAAAGTAAACAGTCATTCAGTAATGCCTCCTTTTGCCCCAAGATCTTCTTTGCCATTTTACGTATCTCTTATAAATGAGTATCATAATAATCAATGCTGAGGTGGTTATATACTCATGCAGATTCATATTTTAATCTCTTTTTTCGTATAGCAGATTGTTGCTGAATATTTAAATAAAATATTTTGAACACTAAACTGTTCTGCCAATCTTTTGTAGTACCTGGAATTCTGGAAATGTGTATTTCAGTATTTTTTTTTCCATTCACAGCTACACAGCTTTATATAGCAGATGAAATTTCTATATAAAACTCTGAAATTCCGGAGATACTCCTGAAATCCTGAAACACAGTCCCAGAGCAAGCTCTGGTTATCATAACTACTTTTATAGAAATTAACTGTGTTTAGACACTTTACAAAAATAGGGTTAAATTCTAAATCACCTCTAGAGATGGCTGAATCTCTACTGTTCTAAGGCTGATTCATTAAGAGCTCCAGTCTGCAGTAATCGACCGACCCACTGTTCTGAAGTATGCCTGCTGGAAATCCTCCTAAAAAGCCACTCACCAGCTGGGAGCAGCTAAAGCACTGTAGCTACTGCTCTGATCCTTTCTGTTCCTCCAGTTTGCTTCAGAGGAAAAAAAAAAAAAAACCAAACCAAAATCAAAGTCAAAACCAAACCTACCTCAAAACCATTATTTAATCTATGAGTTTCTGTCCTTAGTATTTTGTCTAACTTTGTAAACTGTCTTTTGTTATTTTGATTGGCTCCGGGTTATCCCCAGCTTTCCACTTCTGATGTGTTTTATGTCTACATCTTCACCCACATCAAAACAGTGAGATCTAAAAGCACTTTTCAGGGCCACAATCCCCAGGCATCCACATCATACATAAGCCTGGGCTCTCAATAGTGCTAGAAGAAAATCCCAACAGGCGTAAGGGGCTAACTAAGACCTGAGGTCTTAGTGCAGCACTCTCCACTGGATACTCACCTGCAAGCTGGGATAAAAATGTGCCTCAGGGTGCTCCAAGGTAGTGAACCACACAGTACCATGACCCCCACTGTGCTCCCTCAGGGCTCACAAACCTCTGTGTGTAGGAGGGGTCTTGGGGAAAAAAAAAAATGAAATGGCCCAAGCTTTTCTCCTTGAGTCAGTTTTAGCTGAGGTGGTTAAAATAAAGTTTCTTCAGCTTGTGTTGGACTGTCTTGAAAGCCAGCCCTAGCAGAGCCTGGTTTTAAGCTGGGACAGATGTCCTGCACTGGCCACACATGCTTGGCAGGGCTGGGGACAGGGCCCCTCTGGCAGGCTGATCAGAGGACTCATTACTTCAGTCTTCCTTGGAGGCTGATGCTAAAAATACAGAGTATGGTTTTCTTTGGATGGCTCCTCTGATGATCACGGCCAAATGCTGCCAGAAACATGTGATTTCTTTGGGGGAAAGGTGGGCCTTCTGTAGAGGCCACGAGGCTGATCTTGATACTGTTGATGAATCATATACAAAACAGGATATCACATGTAAAGCAGGCATGATAACAAGAAGATGTTTCCTTTACTGCAAGACTCACCAAGTGGGCTCAAGGCACTGTAACAAGATCTCTAACATGCTCTTCAGAATACATGGCCTGCACAAGAAGCTAGCTGGTAGAATGTGTGATTTGTAGGGACTTATTTTTCATCATGTGTGTTTCCAAAGTTCATACTGAACTGTGACACATTAACATGTAGATGTGGTTCATCTCAGACAAAGCACTTTTAAAAAGGCAGGGCATATACAGCACTCTGCTTTGTGTTCCAGCAAACATCACATGCTTTGGGATTTGACGGTATCAATTTATAATTATATCAGAACTAATTAATTTAGCACATTTAAATGGAGTTCTTCTGCAGGTATTTATGCTACTTAATTAATTCTTTGATAGTCTAAATTTAACTCTTGTTACCCGGTTTTCATGTCTGATCCAGAAAGAAAATAACAGCAACAAGTCTGACAAGATACTAAGTCTACTACAAACATATCTCCTAGTTGCAAAGAACGAGCCTGTGTTCCCCAAATATAGGTGTCTGCGGAACAAAAGCAAAGAGTCAAACTTTTCCTCATGTAAGGAAAATAATTGTCCAAAGAACTCAATATCCTTTAATGGGGTTCACATTTCAAAAAACCTTCTAGAGTCCGTGAAGTTTTAATATCCCAGCACATTGGTCTGTAGTGAACTCCAAGGATATGGGCCATGGGCTGAAGCAAAATTCCACTAAAGCAAATGCAGCATCATGGACTGCACCATTGCAACTCCATGAATATGGAAAGGTGGTAAATTATGCGCACAAAAAAAAAAATTGCAACCCCATGTAATGTTCATTCCCTCTTCTCACAGCTGGGTAACTTCTACAAGCAGCATGCAGAAACTCTGGTTTGCTTGCTCTAGCCAAAGGCAATCCTGCCCCCACCTTCTTGCACCTAATATGTCAGTGAATCAACTGCAGTCTCATGAATTAGCACCAATTCCCTTTCCACAGTTTCAACAAACTTCTCAGAGTTACTGATCAGAAAGTAAGTTTTCATTTTCACAGTAAGCAAGTTCACTCCACAGCAAAGTTAGTGTTCCTTTCTGTGAGAATCAAGGTAATAATAGATTTTCTTACATATATATTCACAAAGTTATTGGTAAAGATTTTATTTTGTATCTTGGAAATCCAACAAGTGCTGAGCCAGATGAAACAAAACAGAGAAAGGAGTTAGCAGTACTGAGCTAGTGTTGTCTTGTTCTCTTTACCAATCAAAACCACCACAATAATAAAACAGTCACAGTGTTGCTCTATCTTTACTAACAGACCATTAAAATTGTTGTTAGTGGACTTGCTGACTCTTTGGCAGGGCAGGCTGCAAACTGCTTTTATGTGCACTTATTGAATCATTTCCCAAGTTTTTTAACGATAAAACATGTTCAGGCTCATTTAGACACAAACATCCATAAAGCAGAGTTCAACCTTTTAATAACAGATGCATAACGTTGTCTTCCTTCAACCAAAAAGGTCCTTGATTTTAAAGGCAGCCAATTCCTTGTGATTTTACTGAAGAGAAACATGCAGCTCTCCTGCCCACTTACGACTGAATGATAAATTACATTCAAATGTCTGAAATTTTCCACACAGCTCTTTTGTTTCGGCTAAAGTAAAACAAATTCATTTTTTACAATCTTTGCATCCTGCAGTATAAATTACAGAAAAAAAATAGTGTTGTCCTGTTTCTTTATTCCTTAGAGGAATGACCTTTTGTTTCTCTCGAGAGTCCAGCATAATGTAGTAAACCTCTTACTTACGGTACAAGTATTTTCAGTGTAGCAGTTTCCTTGTAATCATGGGTGTGCTGCCAGCACCAGTGTAGCAGGCAGCGTACTGACAAGGAACCCTTCAGCTGGCCCATCCTTCCCTCAGACTCAGGGCAGGGGCCAGGCACCAGCCTGAGGAACCCAGATACATGTTGGAAGGGATAAGTACAAGCAGTGAAGATGAAGAAGCCCAAGTGAAGATGATGAAGCCCTGGCAAAGGAGAAGGCTCTGAGCAGAGGAGCAGGGTGCACCGTAAGTGCTCTAGTTCTTACCTGCGCCTTAAGTGGTAAAACACAGACTTGCTAAAACAGAGACGCTACTTGCAGTCACCTACTTCTTGTATACTGACTCTATTTGTATTGACTTATGCTCAGATTCTTGTAGAGTTGATCTGAACCAATTTTTGCCATACTGATCTTTGGCTTGATTCTGGACTGACTTACTTGCTTTCTGGAGAGAAGCATACAACACCAGGACAGACCCATTCCTAACTAGAATTTACCAGCTCATACAGTAGCAGAAGCAAGGGACAGAGGTTGGAAAGATGTAGTCATATAGAAATTTGGAAGAATTATATATGATAACAATCTTACTGAATTCTAAAGTGTTCAGCACTGGTTTGATCAGAACCAGCCTCGCCTGAACACACCTCATCACCACCCCATATGATGACCCATATAATTTCTCTGGTAAGTTATCTTGCCTTCATGTATCTGTTTACTTCCCAGAGTTAAAAAGGTGATAATTTCTTCTAATGATTCATTCTCTGTGCCTATCACAAAACACTGTTTTTTTTTCATTTTTTTTTCTGCATGGCTTTCAAAGTTAAAAATATAAATACCAGTGTGTATATATATATATACACACACACACACACACATAAACATATGTCTCTCCGGTACATTCTAAATGACTAATCTGAAGGGCCCTGATTCTCCTAAAATAACAATGTCACCAGTGAAGTACAGCAAAGCAGTACACTAAGAATCACCAGACAAGTCAGGAAGTAGCATCAGAAATAATCTGGCAGGACATCAAAGAAAGAAGCAGGGGGCAGAGTTCAAACCCTGGAAATGCGAAAAGAAAGTCATATTCATATTCTTATTCAGCATTCACATCCCTTTGGGCTTTAACCACGCTGCACATCAATACTACTGTTGCTGATACAAAAATTTAGGATACTTGAGAAATTGAGAAACAGTCTAATCTAAATTAGGCAAACTTCAATTACTAACAAATACAAAGGGATAATAGAAAAACTCATTGTAAAAAGAGCTTCCATCATCTACGCAGGCAGAAATCTGCCCCCACTGGTGTCTTGTAACAGGGAACAGCTGCAGTGGATGGCAACCAGCACTCAGTAAGGAGAACCCCTGATGGTGTC